GCCTGTGCAGCTCTTTTCCAGGCAGGCCCTTGGCTTGGGCTGGTGTGCCCCAGACTCTGGGGTCAGGGCGGTCAGGTCAGGTCCTGGCTGGGATCTGCTTTCAGCCGCACTGCTCTGGTCCATGGTGCTGCTTCCCCAACTAAGGTGGTCTGGTGTGCCTTTACTGTAGAGATTTTCTTTACTTTTCCTGTAGGCTTTAGTTTTCATCAAGGGGCCTCAGAGAGCCCCTCTTTCTGTTGTTCATGTCTACTCTGTCTTCTCAAGCTCAGAACAATGTCCATTATGACCCCTGCAACTCTGCAATGTGGAGCCAGGTAATGGCTTGGCACAGAGGGGCAGGGGGTTGCTGGCACCCGCACGGCTCACCTCCTTGGCCCTCTGGGGCGGTAGTACAGTGGCCAGAGAGGCTCACCTCCTTGGCGCTGTGGAGCAGTGGTCCAGAAAGGCACTTTTATTCTTGGGTAGCTGGAAAATAATTTTAGCTGGGAGCTGAGGTGTATATGAGCTGGGCATCTTCTGTTCTGCCACCTTCTTGACCCAGTTCTAAACTTTATGTTTTCTAAACTAGGAGTCAAGATAACCTTAGTCACCGGAAAGCTTTCAAAAATAATTGGGGTTGGAATGTTCCCTGCCACATCCAAAAGGAAAAAAAACAATGACCTTATTGATGAAGTCAGGTGATAGCTCAGTCCTGTATTGGATTCTTAAGATGAGAAAAATATCTTGCCACAGAGTTGATTGTAGATAGTGATTCTCTTTTTGATAGGTTGTGGTCTTTTCGCACTCTGTTATCAGGAATGCCCTGTCAAAGACCATGATAAAGATAAGACAGCTATCAGTTAGAATACAGCCAGGTGGTGGAGAGATAGGGAACAAGTAGTATGAAAGAAAACCAGAGCAGACATCACTTCTTGCCTGTTGGCTAAGATCAGGTGTAGAAAACTAGAGCAGAGAAGTTGTTATATACACACACACACACACACACATCCATCCCTGTTGCAGTGAGGGAGTTCAGTGTATAACTGGGCTTGGTTCCAAATACAACAAGGGAAAGTGAGGATTTATAACCAAAAAGTAGACTGAAGGAGGAGAGCGCGTAGAAAATTACTAAGAGAAAACTTCAAGGGTAAGAGGACATTCTTGCTGAGGGCAACCAGAGTGATCAGATATCAAGCAGGGACTGGTGATGAATGAAGGATTTCATCAGATATTAAGGATGGTAAGATACCAAGTGGGGATTCTCTCTAACCTGACTTAATGGGATTCTTACTAAAACAGATATGCAGATCTGTCAGGAAAAGGGCTCAAGAGAATGTTAACTAAAATTTAGTTAAGGAAAAAGTTGTCAGTACGAAGGACATAATAACAGGATAGAACTCAGATCATGAAAAGGCCATAGAGAAGCAAATTTGTAGGAACATGGCTTCTGGGTGAGGTATCATGTCAAACAATTGTAGAATCAAGTCAACAGATTGAGGGTTCAGTTGCTAGGAAAAGAGTACAAATTAAGGTTTTCTGTCAAGAAATTGGTCACATGCCCAGCTCTAGCGTCCCAGACCCAGTTGGAGATGGGGCACCAAGAAGAGTGAGTTGATCCAGAGGATGCTTGAGGTGGCCTCTGCTGGTACAGAGCCAAACCTTTGGCGAGTGTGGGGCCCCTCCCACGTTGCTCAGCGGTATTGGTAGGGGCTGTTGGCCAGACAACTCAATTGCAGTTGCCCATATGGCCAGTGAACTCTTAACCCTGAGCTCATTAATTCTGAATAATCAGCCAGTTGTAATATGATTCTCAAGTATAAGGTAATAGCACCCTTTCTTTTTCATGACTCCTAAAGTACACGGAATTTGATGCTGCACAGAAAGATTCTTTTTCTTGATTTTTTTTCCCTTGTGAAATGCCTTAGATTTTATTGACTGAACAGATTATTAATAATTTCCATCGTTCATATGATATTTTTAGGTTATGGGTAGTTGTTTCTATAAATATAGTCCTATTTTCCTTTTTGTACAGTAAACCTAGAGTTCATCCAGCCATGCATTTATGTGTTCTAGGAACCTAAGTGAATTAAAAATGAACTAAAACCGGGGCCAGGGATTTAGCTCAGTGGTCCCACCTCCTGCCTCAAAAGCAGAAGGACCTGAGTTCGATCCCTGGTACCAAAAAAAAAGAACTAAAACCTTTAGGTAATGGACTGAAAAGAAATTCATTTCTTTGTTATTATTAGATATTTTCATAGAAATGAAAATTGTTTATTCAATATGTGATTGAAGTAGGCACGGCCAACATAAATTTAGTATGTCATTTATGTTTTTGTTTTTTTTTTTGGTACCAGAGATCGAACTCGGGTCCTTGCGCTTGTGCAGCAGGCAGCTAAACCACTAAGCTAAATCCCCGGCCCAATGTCATTTATGTTTTTAAGGACAGTATTGCAGGACTCTACAATTAACAGGCCACCCCAAAAAAAGTATTATGCATTTATACATGAAGAGAATTTCACAATCAATTTGCAGTACCAACTTTGGAAGTTTACATAGCTTTCTCACTTCAGGAATTCTAGTTTTTGTGACTGTCTAATACAGAAATACTTTATGCAGTTTCCCAAATACTTGATCATAACTACTTTTTTCTCACATAATACCTACTCACGTTTTATGGGATGATAATGTTCCGTAGAATTTAATTTGGGACATCTTCCTCTTACTTATTAAGAATTTAGACATCCCAAGCTGAGTGTAGCATTGCACACCTATAATCCCAGCACTCTAGGAAGCTGAGGCTGGAGGCTCTCAAATTCAAGTGTATCCTGGGCAGTGTAGTGAGTTAGCAAGGACCTGTCTCAAAATTTTTTAAATTTTAAAAACATTTCCAAGGGGTGTTCCTTACTCAGAGGCCCTGGATTCAATCCCCAGTATTGGGGGTGGGAAATAAATGTAGACATCCCAAATGATTCCATCTGTAAGTATCTCCAAGAGGAGATCATTCACCTGTCTATAGTAATAACAATTGTTACTCACCTTTTTAGCTTTCCTATTTTACCTTCTGGGGAAGAAAATAAGTGCAGGGTGCTAAGCACAGAATAAACCCAAAAAACATTAAGTACCTTTTTTTTCTTACTTATGTGAGATTTGGCATCCTTTAAGGAGTGTTTTTCCCCATTATATTCAGAAAGACAAAGATTTTTTTAATTGTCCAGAGTATCATCAAATTACTGATATAAATAATGCCATTTATGAGGATATTTGCTCAAGTCATTGTCTTCTTTCTTTCTTTCTTTCTCTCTTTTCTTTCTCTTTATTTTTAGTAGTGTGGATTGAACCTAGGTGGTTGGACTTACTAAGCATATACTCTACCATTGAGCTACACTCTCAGCCCTGTTTATTTTAATGTCATTTCCTTAACACATTGGAATTTAAGATTTAAATATTGAATGATAAAAAGGGAAAGTTTTCTAAGTAACCAGTTTCTGACCTACCATTCCAGAATATGCAAGCCTGTGCTTCTTATTAAGTCAGGTAACCATAGCTATTTAATATATTATTTAAGGTTATAAATTTTTAATTCACATTCTTCTATCCACTTTCATTGACTTCAAGAATGTAGGTTACAATTTTTTTTAATTGTCTCTGCATGGTATCAGTGCCAGGAATGTCAGTTTCTTTATTACTGTTTATTAATTAAATGACGGGTCCAAGCATCCCTTTGATGTAAAATCCACAGCTAGGGTGATGCAGAGGAATTTTTTGGTGAAAGTTTGTTTAAAACAGCTTCAGCATGATTCATGGTCCCATTGTTATTCACTTCTATTGCAGTATTCCAAGCCAACTGGCAAATCTCCATTTCTTCAAGATTCTCACTTACTTGAAATGTGGTCTCATAGTAGACTGCTTTAGAATAAGGATTATAAATGAGACAACTAGATTGCTTTTTTTTGTTCTATCTTTTCCTAAAATTACATTTTATATAGTTTGTGGCAATTCATTAATGAATCACATTTAAATATATCTTATTTTCAAGAATAATTATAATTTTATCAACATTAGCTGATCCTTGGATCCTACCATGAAACTCTCTCATACTTGTGAAAATTCAAACACATGTTTGTATGTTTATGGGCTACATGTTGTTTCTTTAAAGTTACATCCTTCAAAAGTTGTACTTTATAACTATCATAATGCTTATTGTAAGTAACTGCTTATTGTAAATAACTATCATAATGCTTATTGTAACTACATGTAGTTTCTTTAAAGCTACATCCTTCAAAAGTTGTATTTTATAACTATTATAATGCTTATTATATAACCAGCATAATGCTTATCTTTCCCTTTCTAGTAAAGTCATTCACATTGCAGTTCATATTTAACATACATGTCCCCTTTTGTGTGAAACCATTCCAGAACCCTAGGTTGAAGGAGCTCTACACTTTTTTATAGAATTAATCATGTACTGCATAGTTACCTAGAAGAATCCCATTAATCTTCTTGTAGAGAAATAAATCTGAATTTTAGCAGTTCAGCTTGTTGCATACTGTATTTATTTCCTGGGGTTGTCTATAACAAAGCACCACGAACCTTGTGTCTTAAAATAACAACAACAACAGAAATTATTTTCTCACAGTTCTGAAGGCCAGAAGTCCAAAATCAATGTGCCAACAGGGCCATAGCCTCTGCAGGGTCTGGAGGAGAATCTGTCCTTAACTCTTTCGGCACCTCATGTACCAAGTGCTCTTGGCTAGTGGCAGTGTAACTCTGGTCTCCTACCTCCATCTTCACATGATAGCCGTACTTGTGTATCTTTTCTTCTCTGTTGTTGTCTCTTTAAGGACGTCTGTCAGTAGATAGAAGATTCATCATAATCCACAATGATCTCAACTCAGAATCTTTAATTACATCTGCAAGACCCTGTTCCCAAGGAAGATCCAATTTTGAGGTTCTAGGGTTATATCTTGTGTATGTCACCATTCAGCCAACTATACCTATTGAATATATGCCCTTATTTCCAGATACTGTAGTCGTCTTTCTGATCTGGCCAACGAGTATATCCAGGTGAGCGCATGTTCTCATGCATGTATGTGTTTGGGAGGTGGTATCTATTTTTTCTTCTTGCCAGTCAGCCCTCTGTAGCAGATGGTGCCTGCAGCTTGACTTATGACATTAGGAATTAAGCACTGACCTTATTAAACTCCTGAGGAGGTCACCCCTGGCGATTTGAATAGGGTTTATTACATGTATAGTTTTTTTAATGATGTGGCTTTTTCATCACCATTTTTTACCATGCTTATCTTTTATTGTCTTTTGTACTTAGATTGCATACACCAATTGCTCGTTGAAAGAGAACTATAAATTTGTCCTTTGTGCATGCAGCCCCTGGAGTTTGGTGCCACCCTGAGAGTGAGGGCATAGTGTGGTTCAAAGAACACTGAATCGTTAACAAAAGAACCAAGTGCACTTAATAGCTGTGGAACTTTAAATAAATCGTATTACCTGAACTGGTTTCTCAGGACTAAAACAAAAATAATAATTTTACCTCAGTTTTATGCTGTGAGGGTGAAGTTTTTAGGAGATGATTTTTAAAATGTGAACATTTATATAAATTAACCTTTAGTATTGTATCAATGTCTGCATAAAAGGACCATCATTATATTTACTGATTTGTGGTTTTCTGTCTTGACCATATAGTTTGACTAGCTTCTTCTGCTTTTAAACTGTCACTTATCATTTAAAATAAATATTCATAGAATGATTGTCTAATTGGTGACATGGAAAGAAGTCACTTTGGGAAATGTCTTTAATGGATAAGACATAAAGCTGCAGTCTCTAGAGAGAAGTAATGGGAAATAAAACATTTGGTAACCAACTTACATGAACTGTCTGATGTTCTAAACTCTTATTTATGTAGTTGTGGATATTTCACAGATTTAGGTTTTTGTATTCTTTCAGGCCAAGTGGTTTCCAAAACACTTATTAGAATCTCCTCATTAAAAATAATGGAGCACACAGATAATTCTCCCTAGGAGAAAAAAGACATCCTTTAATCATCTGGGGTTTGAGTTTCACCAAGCATTTATTAAGCACTAATTACGTGTGAGGCCCTGGAGGAACCAAAAAGATAAAATTCCTGTCTTGAAGGTGCCACTTTTCAAGTATAGGAAAATAACGTAGAAGTGTAATGGAAGAGTCACATGGTGGTGGGGCGGGGGGGGGG